CGGAACTTTCACGCTTAGTAACACATACAGCTGTTCCCTCACCACAGTGCAACAGTGAAAAGGGACCCGTTTCAAACAGTGTCACGTTCGGAACGCTGTTTAAGCGACATACTTATTGCGGTATTTTAAAAATTCATATCATAACAAAAATAAACACCGGTATTCGGTATGAACCGAATGACTCGATTCGTTCCAATGCTTCTGTGACCTCAAATGAGCTTTAAAAATGCAATAAGAGTCTTCATAAAATGAAGCAAGTCGCTACGAGCAGATAAAGGCTTCAGTGTGTGCAGATACTGATAGCGTCTGTCCTTTCATCAACTCTGTGTTCTTCAGCACCTGCGAGGGTCACTTCTGTGGACACGCGGTCGATGGCGAGGACGTCTCCAGCTCCATCGTCACACGCCTCGATGTAGAACTTCTCCGCAGTCGTGTGTCTGTCAGCGAGAGGAAAGACATTCAATGCATTTAATGCAGTCAAATCCTTACAACAGAGCAGAACTTATCCATATGTGCCTCTGAAATCATGCGTTATTACATCACATCCTTAAACTCTATAATAACCAGCACTGGTATAAATGATGACAAATGTATTTAACACTAGGCCTGTCGCAATAATCAATATATCGACTTATCGCGCAATATATGTACATGACCTCAATTATTTTTGGTGACGCAATATATCGCCCATTATATTTACTTAATAATTAAAGTCACCATGTTTTGTACATTCCACTTGTGCCTGTGTCTTTTGCAGCTTCTCGTACATAACGTGGTGTAGTCATGAGCTGCTAGTTCACATTTAACAAATGCTTCTACAAACAAAGTTTCATCTGCAGATATGGTCTTGTTTAGGGATCTGACGGACATCTGACTGCTAAGTAGTGCTTGTGTTTTTCAGCAATACAGTGCACTCTTAAATTACAGAGAAAAGAAGGTCAGGGAAAAATCTGTAGATGGAAAAATCTCCATACAAGTTCTTTATGTGCATTTTTCTTTTTTTCTACTTGTTACTTTGCACTTTTTGTTAGAGAATGTTTATTTACTATTTATTATGGTTTTTTAAGGTATCTAATATTTTGATACTTAATTTCCATGATCTAAATATTCTTAAAAATTAAATTTGGAATGTAATTTGGAAGTGTGTAGGCTGTTATGCTGTTACATTATGATTATATATTCAGTGGCATAAAATGATCTTTAAAATGACAATAATATCGCTTATCGAAATTATTTCTGGGGGAATATATCGCACAAAAACTTGTTATCGTGACAGGCCTAAACACTACACAACTTATTATATTATATTGCATTACATTATATATAATTTATAATGTACTGCAAACTTGCATATTAATTAGGCTATGTGCATTAGACTGTATGTAAACTTTATTTACAAAAATGTAGATTTGCAGCACTTAAAAATAATTAAAAAAATGTATTTGCTGAAAACAAGTGAATTTCTTACAATTCTCTAAATTACTCCCTTATTTTTTTTTTTATATAATTTGATTTTACATATTTTGGTGTTATTATTATTTGTTATAATAATAAATACGCCTATTTCTAAAATGCCAAATGACATTAAGAATTCATGTTTGAAATCACACTAATAAGAAAAATGAATAGATCTAACAGATCGAAGTACAGAACTCAACAGAATAGAATATGTTCAATGTTTCATTTCTTTATAATTATTACAATTTTAAAACGTTCATAGTATGGGCTTTTGTCACAGTATTTACATCAGACTCTTCAAAAAGGAGCCAAGCTTCAACACATAACTAATAAATTAAAAATTAGATTATTATTTATTTGATTAAACATTTTTCATACAGAAATGATCTCAGAAATGATGTTTTAAATTCCTTTTTTTTATTGTTGTGATTATGTTTTTATGATTATTTTACTTCATTTTATGTAAAGCACTTTGTATTATCATTGTGTGTGTGCTATATAAATAAACTTGCCTTGCCTAGTGACATTTAGTGATTTTTTTATGCGTAAATTACTTAAAATTTATATTGATTAGCCTCCCTTATGAATGTATAATGTGCTTTTACATTTTTCTCGATTCATTATTAGTTATAGTGATAGCAAATATTATAAATATCATTACATATATATACATATGTATGATTTTGGCATGTGCACGACGACGACGTAATACATTTTCATACCGTTACATCCCTACTCCAACCACATTTTTACCACCATAAATCATCTGTTTCCTAAAACATGTTACATTGAAATCAAGTAAGTCCTCTGGTGCACCTGACTTCGAGGCTGCATGTATGACGACAACGACGACGACGACGACGACGACGACAACAACAACAACAACAACAACAACAACAACAACAACAACAACGAGTTAGCATAGCTAGCTAACAACAGTGTGACCAGTTTTATTCGAGATTCATTGATTTTTGACTGTAATCTGATCAGAATGGTTGATGAATATCAGCACTAAGTTATCTGTGGCTCAAAACAGAACAAGCCGCTCACTTAAATAACATTTCGGGAAATAATAATGGCCCTACTTGCGGTCTAGACAGGTTTTGAGACACAGCCTCAGACTGAACTCACAGCATTCAGACTTTAACCGATCAAAGACGACCACTGAACTCTCTTCGACTTATCTAATCGATAATCAGGAATCGATGAGCGTCAGAGGAGGCGATTAATACTCACAGATTGAAGGTGTTGTAGGTGCTCGCCATTTTTCCATCAGTTCGTTCCTGACCTCCGTGACGTGTCAATCCAGCAGCGAACACGAACCGGAAATGACCTCTGGAGGACAGATAAAAGTCCCGTGCTGTAATAAAAGTCCCATGGGATATGCCTCTCTCTCTCTTCTTGCTGCTTGATATTGCAAATTGGTGTGCCTTACCATATTATTTTAATGTATTATCCTAATTATGAACGCACTGGTTTGTAGTGTAAACAGTTTTACCGTTTACTGCACTTTGTTATTCTTCTCGTTATTTTCCTACAGCGGTTATTGAACCGGAAGTCAGCAAAAATAGTTACAGTAAACTTAAAAAAACAAAAAAATTGTAAGAATATTTTTCATTAATTTTTTTCCTGATTCACATTCCAACACAACAATCCCAAATGCCTAAGATTAAAAATATGCATTCAAAATTAAATAAAATAATTAATAACGATGATACACAAAAAAGAAATTTCATTCACATAATAAAACATTCAACTGTAAATTAGGGAAAGAAAGAGGGAGAATAAATAAAATAAGAAGAATAAATAATTTCATTATTATACTATTAAATTATTAATAATTGTATTATTAATTTAATTACAATTATTATTTTATTGTATTGATACTTATTATAATTATAATTTAATTAATCCATTTTTCAATTTAACTATAATTATTAAATTATAACAATAAATACATTTTATGGATGATCCCATATATATATATATATATATATATAAAAGGAATATAATAAATCATTAGTAATATAACAATTTCTGTAACACATTGCATTCTACTGTAATGATAATGATGATGGCACATAAACATAATATAAAGAAAACTAAAGTGTATTTTGTTCTGTTGAAAACCTTTAATACAAAAGTTACAGAAAAATAAAGTACGGCTCTGTGTAAAAACAGTCATTGTTTTCAGCAGACAGACATCATAAACAGACAGTCTTAATAGTGAACATCACTGGTGATCAGCGGTACTTCATGCTGGTGCTGGGTTGACGCCGCAGCACTTCATCGCCTTTATCCATGTCTTTAGGTTCATCATAAACTGTGGAGATGTGGAAGTCTTTTCTGGGTTTTTTAAGTGGAAGGAATGAGCTGAGCTTTTCTCCATGATACCTGCAAATATTACAAAATCAAATGCATCAGTCATAACAAAGTCATAGAAATTGAGTAGAGATCATTCACCAAGCATTTAAAAAACAGAAGGATATATTATAGATGTGGCTTAGAAGTAATTTATAGAGTTCTCACAACTTTTGACCAATATTTTTCCTACAATTTTCCAATAGAATTTTTTAAATTACTGTATAGAGATTAATCTAAAAAGAGCAATTTCTTGGCTATGAAATATTTTAGAGTTGAGCATGATGGAATAAAATGTATATTCACTATAGAATTATTAGTTTCCATTATTATTATATTGTAAACTGTAATGTATTTCTGTGATGCGCAGCTGTATTTTCAGCATCATTACTCCAGTCTTCAGTGTCACATGATCTTCAGAAATCAGTATAATATGCTGAGAAACATTTCTGATTATTATCAATGTTGAAAACAGTTGTGCTGCACAATATTTTTGTGGAAACTGAGATATATTACCATTTAAATGTTTGGGGTCTGTGTGTGTGTTTAATAAAAGTTAATGTTTTTATTCAGCAAAAATGCATTAAACTGATTAAAAGTGACAGTAATGTGACAAAAGATTTCTATTTGAAATGAATGCAGTTCTTTTGAACTTTCTATTCATCTGTGAATCCTGAAAAATAAAATGTATCACAGTCTCCACTAGGGCTGTGCGATATTGAAGAAAAATGCGATATGCGATAATTCATTAAATAATGCGATATGCGATACGATAATGCTTAAAGTGCCACATGCTCAGATGAAACAGTTTTACTCAGCTGTTGCCGAGTCAGTTCTGTGAACTTCTATAACTATCTTGTGTCATATATATATGGTTATTTGTATGTATGTATGTACCAAGAGCTCCTGTAAAACCACAACAAATTCCTTGTGTTTGCGCACACTTAAGTGGTGAATAAAGCTCATTCTGATTCTGATTCTAATAAGAAAGCACCCCTACAACAACTTCTGAAAGTGAACGGTGGTGTTTTACTCGAGCATTACATAAAAATGTCATTTTAACATGAGTTTAGGAACTGAATAATAAAAAGGAAAAATACAACACTGCTTAGAATTTATCTCTATGAATTCAATATGCACTGATTCTTATTTAAGCTACAAAAGTTATTTAG